TTTGGCCTTTACTTTACCACTACAGAAAAATAATGACAAAAAAGATATCAGGTGGTTAATGGTCCATTGTGACAAGCGTAAGTCAAGATTACTTGTGTGTTAATTTAACTCAGAATATAGATGAGAAAATGGCTCACCTCCAGGCGAAATCACACATTATTCCTAGAAGAAAGATGGTTAGACAATCAATCATATATCCTAACTTTTTAGATGTTTTCCAATTTGTGCTGATGCATCTTGAAGTTTACGAGGTAGGCACAATTAGGTTTGACTGTAAATTGAATTATAGTTCCCCATATTACAACACATTGTAAATTTAAAAAAAGGGTTGAGCCAATTTTTCTGTGAGAACCCAAATGTAGTCAACGATTATCCTAATCGAGACTCTGTCCCTCTAGAGTCACGCTGTGATGGTGTCCAAGACTGTCCAGACAGAAGTGATGAGAAAGGATGTGATGGATGTGAGGATGGTACATGTCTCCCCTGTCATTGGCTGTCACGTGACTTTGAAGCTTGTAATCTATTTATAGTAGCCAATAGTACCCCTTTCATTAATGTTTCATAGTCTTGTAAAAGTCATTTCTCTGGATTGATTCAGTTTTCGCATGAAATTAGTTTCTGTAATAGAAACAGTACAGTTGAGAAATTATCGGACCGGAGATTACTTTACAACAACTTGACCAGCAAAATAGAATGGACTCCAAAATGTTTATATCTCAGAGGAAGGGATGAACGTCCCACAGGATGTCATGACGAGTACCAACTGAGAGATTGCACAACATTTGAATGCCCAGAAGGATTTATTAAGTGTATCAATTCTTACTGTGTTCCTGTTTACAATGTTAGAGACGGAGTGTTTCATTGTCCTTTTGGAGAAGATGAAGATTTGGTCAATAATGTGATGGATGCTAATGACATATATAGTTGTTTAAATAGAATCTATGTCCACGAGGTAAAATCTTACATCTCTAATAGTGGCTTTATGACTTTAGCTTATCTGCTGTTTCAAGTTGGTATACATTATAAAAGAACCAAAAGACACAATAAAGTTTTGCATTCTTCTCCTGGACGTTTTTGATTTCAATGAATTTATTTTTGAATTAAGAGTATGTTCCTTTAGTGGTTAGTGAGGACTACCGACTAGGTGTATGCTTATGTTGTATTATTTTTTTTTTAAAATTAAATTGGCAAATGTATGTAAGTAGATATAACACGTGTACAAATTTTGTATATGTAATATTATTTTCTGTGTATTTTCTACAACATTAAAAGTTTCTAATTGAAATGATTTGTATACATTCAACTATCTAATTAAAGATATTTCTATACATTCAATGTTTTAAGTGAAATTATTGTCGTAATTATTATTGTATGTATAGATTTTTATGTGTAAATTATTTTATTTGAAATGATTTTATAAGTGGATTAAATGTTTTTATGTAATAATTTGCATGCATACATTTTTGTATATTTAATGATTTTATTGTTTTTTTTCACATGTGAAATTAATTTAATAATGTCTGTTAAATTGTCAATGTGTAATTATTTTAAATGTCTATATTTTTGTTGATTTTTTCCTAAATGACCATTCAATACAAAGTAAAGGTAACGACTTTTGTTGTTCAATAAAATTTACTTCATTAAAATAAAATTAATTGAAATTATTTCTGTTCATTAAAATGGTAATAAAAATATAGTATGATTTAAATTAGCAAAAAGTTTTTCAGCGTCTAATCATTTAAAATTTTTAAGTGTATTTTTTTTCCTACTAATAGTAATTTAATGTAAATATATTTGTTTTTAATTGAATATAATTGCTGTGAGCAGTATTATTAAGTGTGTGAAATAATAAGTTTAAAATGTCGACAAAGTGTATTTAAATGGAAACAATAATGCATATTCATATAATTACTCCCCCAGGTTCCGGGCTGATATAAACGTTAAATAAGTTACAGCATAGGGTCCTTACAACTGACGGATATATCCTTCAAAATTTTCTTTGTCCCCCTTATGTAATTTAACACGGTTGCTGACTTTGAATACCTTACGGCCTCAGCGAGTCTCAGCCCAGTCGTGCACTGCCCCTTTGTTCAAATTTTGTACTTAAAAAAAACACTTAATTTTGCGTTTCAAACATTTTCAGACCCCCCAGTGCCTCGTTGTTATCCCAAAGTATTATCACTTTTTGCAATATTGTCAACCTTCCTGGTGTCGCATGTAAGTTGTTGTTTTTTTAACAGTAGATCCATCTAGTTCCTTCCACTTTTTTTTCCCCTGAATATAAGAGTGTTGAACTGCTATCAAGCTTTAAAGCAGATCAATTAGCCACAAACAATTTGAAAATGTCATTTTTTTTATCGGCTCTGCCTTGAGAATGGAATGGTTTTTGAGAGCTAGAAATGAGCTTTAAGGTTATTTACACCATCCATTGTAAAAAGTACAGTCAAATATATATATATAGGAGAGACAGGTCTTTACCTTTGAGAACACCTCTATAATATAAGAGAACAAGACCTTTGTCAAATTTACAAACATTTCAACAGTGTTAACCATATTGGAATTTTAGACATTGTTGTCACTGGTATACTGTATACAAGCAATACACGGATAGTATTTATATGGAAAAAAAATAAATAACACGACTTGGTACCTTGACTCCATATGGTATAAACAAATCCACAATTTTACGCATCTGACATGTCTTTTTCTTGTTTAGATTTTAAATTTTACTTCCACTCAGTTACTTTCCATTCCTCTTACTTTGTTTTTGTCTGGGTTTGTGCCAACTCTTATTATTTTCTTATTTTAGGTAAAATACTTGTAAATAATTATTATTTAAATTTAAATGAATTTATACTTATTTATATTTTTTACTATCATCTATCTATCCATCTATCTGTCTATCTATCTATCTATCTATCTATCTATCTATCTATCTATCTATCTATCTATCTATCTATCTATCTATCTATCTATCTATCTATCTATCTATCTATCTATCTATCTATCTATCTATCT